TGTGTGTGTGTGTGTGTGTGTGTGTGTGTGTCTTTCTTACACACTGATCCTGATACTGATTTTAGTTAGATGTTAGTGTGGTGTAGCACAAAATAAATAAAATGTCTGATTAACTAGTGCTCCATGACAGTAATAAAGATGAGTATTAAACATAACAGTGTTGAGGAATATATTACATCTTTTAGCCCGTCACAGGGCAAAAAAAATCCTGCTTTTCAGCAGTGTCAGAAGTGCTGCCTGATCCTCACCTGCTGTGGCAGATAAAGGAGTGGGCTCTGTGCATATGAAAAGATTCATACATATTGAAACCACAGCAGGTCTGATCCCGCCCTCATTCATAATCCATATTCCTTAAGAGCCCCAAGAACAAAATACCTCTTAGTGCTAAGCTCTGGCATTCATTACGATACATTCTCCCACTGTTGCTTAGTTTGGACCTGACTGAATGTAGAATAGGGTTCGAGGGAATGAAGCTGTGTGGCCCAAATATAATATGATTATACATGCAAGGCATAATGCATTGGGTACCAGGGAGGCTTTTTCAGCAGGCAGATAGATAAGGTCAGACGACAAAGGAGGGCAGATTATGAATAGATGCACCGCAGTAAGATTATCTGGCTCTGCTGCACCATGCAAAGTATAGCTGATGTTGCTCTCCCACTTGGCACTCAAAATTTCCATTTTCCAACCCTATTGCATCCAGTTATAATCCCTATGGATCCCAGAAAGTCTTAATAACCCAAAAAGTGTTTTTGAGAGTAATTTTAACCCTGTCTGCACTGACCTTTTAAAAGGAACCCCTTGCAGAAGGTGTCCTTGTTTCCACGGATATAATATTGGTCTAATACAAAAATAAGTGGGTTAGCTACATTTTATTATGACATATTGGCATTGGACTGAGCTTCTGGCACCGACTGCTGTAGCTTCATACTGCGCTCCGGTCATGTACTTACATACTTTGTTAAATGGCAATACAAAATGGCTGCCTACAGACAAAGAAGGACCATCAAAAAGCTATCTTTATTTGGCCAATTATCCACAGAAAAAAATTGAAAAAATAAAAATCACAACCCTGACACAAACAGGACTTGTATTTAACACTGTGCAATTACGTTCAGCATAAGTGTTTCATGATGGATTTGTATTTAATTTACCAATCTCCATGCCAAATGTCTATCCAGACTGATAGATACAGACTATATGGGAAGTATAATGTTGCCCCTGTAGCAGAAAGGTTTTTCATTTCTTTAAAGCTGTATCAATCCATATCTGTCCACTAGGGGGACTCCATAAATCCCAAATAAGCTTAAGGACACACAGCTCTTATAACAAGCGTGTTAGCATACTTGTCTATTCACATCAAAACCCCAGGGAGAGCTTTGGGATTTGAAGCCAATTTAACATAGTGGCCGAACTGTGTAATTACAGCGATATTGTCTGTCTTTTCCTCTTAAACTTACATTGTGAAAGAACATACATTTTTGTGTCTATCACAACCTCTCCAAAATGAATCATTTCACGATAACGTTCGGAAAGTCTTGAAGAGTTGCCCAATTAAAGTTAGCAGAGGGCTAAACCAGAAGTTAGTGGCTTGGCTGGTGGAAGTCTCTAGTGCAGTGTCTCTAGGCCTTATCAGCTGCTGAACGTCTGACCAACCAGTTGATGGTGTTAAGGACAGTTCTCTCAGTTACTTTCCATCCTGGGCTAGTCTTTTGTGTTTGCTGATGAAAACATTATGCACAGATAGCTCTGATCTGTCTCTCTCTGGTTCTACAGCAGCACACAGACCACCAGCAGACACTGAAAGCACTAAGACAATGTTTTCTTATGTATTCGACGGACTTGTTGAGATGAAACATGGGTGCTAATTAGCAAATGTCAGCATGCTAACATGCTAAACCAAGATGGTGAACATGGTTATATATGCTAAACATCAGCATGTTGTGGGCATGTTAGCATTCTGACATTAGCATTTAATACAGCCTCACAGAGCTGCTAGCATGGCTGTAGACTCTTAGTCTTGTTAAAGCAAGGACAGCATCAGTTTACCAGCTAAATGTTCCAGTCTGTATATTCTCCTCCAAGTCTCTCTTTTTTCTTCTTCTCATTACTGTCAGGATGGGGAGTAACAAACATCCCCAACAGCTCCTTGTGCAGCTGTATGTACAGTATGTGTGTGCATACTGCATACATATGGGTGTGGGTGTGTGTGCACATTTCCTCATATGAGTGATGGAGAGCTGATTAACAGAGTGGTGAGCGGCTGCAAAAAAAAGCACATCCTGAAAAACACACCGCATGCAAATGCGTTTGTCACTCTGACAGTATGTCTCAATTAAGGCCCGAAAAGCCGAGCAGAGCCGGTCTGAGCTGCCAGCTTTGCTGACCCCCCACCCCCCCAACACACATTACGTCCACACACTTAAAGCATAGCAAAGAACTGAAAAGAACAAAGGAGAAAGCTGGAAAACTGAAGGGAAGGGGAAAGAGGAAGCCTTCAGCGGCATGACAGCGGGGGAATTTCTTGAGAGGAGTCTGTACAGTAAATTGACAACCGGAGAACCGCGTCGTAATGATAAGACCGGCTGGAGCATACACACCACTGATGCCAGCGCTAGCCATAATGACAACAATAATGGCAAACAATAAACACTCAGATCCGACATCCCACCGCAGCCCCCCCACACAGCTGACGGCTACTGTGGGACAACTTTCTACTGGAGCGTGGTTTATCCTGCAGAAAACACACGCAGGACACACACCAGGGACACTGAAACACACACATAATACACCCATAATGTACACATATATAGGCAAACTGTGGACACACACATTCACACCAAACACAACAAGTGCTTAAGTACAAATATAATTGGACACACATTCCATGCAGTAACAGCTGTACAACTCTGTGCGCACACACACACACACACACACACACACACACACACACACACACACACACACACACACACACACACATAGATAATAAAATTAATTTCCTGCTCACAAACACATACATATGTACACATGTACACCGACACAACAGGCAACACTTACATGTCACTGTGTGCAGCTGTGTGCAGCTCACATTAAAACACACAGAGAAAAGAGACACACAAAATACAAATAAACACACACATTTAAGTAGTGTGTGTAGCTGCACGCACACCGACAGACCAGCAGCCCTGTAGCAGGGAGCTGATGGTGAGGAGAGGCTGATGATGGCTGATGTGGTGGTGGCTGGCTGGGTAGCCGTTTAATTAATCTCCAGACAGACAGTGGCATCTGAGAAAGGGAGAGAGAGGTAGAGGGGGGGAGAGAGAGAGAGAGAGAGAGAGAGAGAGAGAGAGAGAGTGCACAAGGAAAATAAAGATAGAGACAGAAGCAGCGACAGCCACACAGAGGCTGTGTCTATCTTTCTGTCAGCCCTCAGGACACATCAGAAGGCACACTGCAGGAAGTCTCCAAAAATCTGCGACACGCTGGATCTCAGAGGCCTGTCTCTGGCTCAGTGGAACAGTCCCATATCTCGGTTTATAGAATATGGAGAGATAACGGAGGGATGGGTTGAAGTCTGAGGAGTGGCTGGATGGCTGTGCAGTGAGTTGGGCATCCATGGAGACTTTCAGGAGGAGACCCTATGAACCTTTTTTTCCGGTTTTTTATGATGTAGTCTCTGTTGCACATCTATGTCTGGACAATATAAGCTGAAATCAATATCACGATTAACTGCCACATTTACTCTGTAACAATTAATAAAGGATAGCTTATTAAATACATTTGTGCACAAGATTGTCTGTCTGCACAATAGAACAAAAGAAAATATAAAATTGCTGCATATTATTTATGTAACATAATCATAAATCATGACTTTATTTATAACATATTCAGTGGTTAAGGACATCTTAAGGCAGGGATCTCAGACTGCCAGCCTGGGGGTCATTTCCGGCCCTCCACCACCCTCCTTGACATGATGTCAAAAATAAAAAGATTATTATTTTGTTGTCGTTTAAATATAAACTACTCCATCATATACAATTCTGTTTAAAAAATGTATTTCATTTGCTGCAAAATAACGGCAAAGGGTCCCGGCAAATGTTTGCAAACGGGATTCACTTGTTGTTTGGCTGCGAACAACAAAGAAAATATAAAATGATGATACAAAAATGTATAGAAACTGCTGTTTGTATTGTCTAATGACATCCTATAGCCCTTAATGTACATTCATTGTTTCCCGGCCAAAAGCTAACCTGACTTCAGTCCAGCAGCTTGCACACCTACCTCACCGTATCTCTCTTCCACACACTGGAGCACTGGAGCACCTGTGCTCTGTGTTACTCTGCTTATTAGACTGCTACTGCGCTTTTTTCCTACCCTATTTACATATACATCGTAATTTTGTATGTATTCTATTAACAGGAGTTAAGGTGTTGCAATATGACTGACGTGGCATTGTTTCTTCTGTACCAATTTTCTTATCTGCACCCCAGCTGCAGTTTCTCTGACATTTGAGCTGTTTTTTCTCTCCAAGTTAGACTCATAATTAGACTGTTTAAAACCTCTAGATGGAACAATGCAGACTCTGGCTGTTTGCACACTCAGGCCTATTGAGTTAAATTTGTTGTTGTAGTTTCAAAGGGTAAGTAGCAGTGTTTTTCTGAATTAAAGAATTAAAGCTGCAGTTGGTAATTGTTGGCAAACTATTTATTATATTTTCTGAAACTTTCACTATATCCTGACAGTAGTACATGAAACAGATAATCTGTGAAAAAAAGCTCCTCCTAGTGCTCCTAATAGCATTTGCAAGAATCCACCGGGCCTGAATGAAAAGATTTTTTCACAGATTACCTGTCTGAAATACTGCTGTCAGGTTATAGTGACAGTTTAGGCAAATATAACAAAAAATAATTTTTCTAAACAGGGGCGGTCCTAGACCATTTGGTGCCCTAGGCGAGCTTTACTGATAGCGCCCCATCCCCACGAGAAAAGAACTCATGTCCAAAGAATTGCACATTTATTTAAACAATGATAATACAAACAATATAACAATATGTGCAAAAGAATAAACCTGTTCAATAATAAATATACAATAAACTTTTAAACATATTTTTAACAGTAGTGGCAGGAAGAGCAGCATGCTCTTGTTGTGTCTCTTCTGGTGACTCTAGGTCCATAAACATAGAGAGAACACACAAGAGCAAATACATTGACTGGATGAGACATGGCACAACATATTGTCATTTTCACGTAAGTCAATACATTTTTATCATCACAAACATTCACTGACACATTAAACTCACCTGAGGAAACCGGAGCAGCTGAGGTGCATGGCTGTTCCTGGTCTGATGATTCAGCTGCAGGTGGTCCCAAATATTTTAATAGTGAATCTAAAATGATATAACAGACAAGTGTATTATCAACATGGAGTAAATCATTTCCATGTTTCAAATGATATTATTATTAAGTTGCTAAGCATTTTAATTTTGACATTCTTTTTATATAAATTCACTTAGGATGTGTCTGAAATCACTCACTCATTCCCTACTAGTCACTACATAAAGTCCAACACAGTGGACTATATAGGGAGTAGTGAGTGATACAGGACACAGCCTCAGTCCCATCTGCTCACAGCTCTATGTGCACACCTCTCTGCATAAACATTACTCTACCTGTAGGCTATATATCATTTATTATTATTATGCTCAAACTTGTTTGATACAATATTCCATCAGTATGTAACTTATACTTATCTCTGTTCATCAGTATATAACATGCTCATCTTTATCACCTCTGTATATAAAGTCCACATGTTGATATCCACATCTGCATATGAGGCACTGACTCACTCAGCACTTTACTAGTTTGCACTCTGGTTAGATGTAAAACTGTATTTCACCGTACTTGAACTTTACAGTAAAGTTAAAACTAATCTCATGTTGCTATATGGACAGTAATAATAGACTTTTCACATCCACTCAGTTTTAATTTCATAGCACACAATGATAACAAACGAATTGCTATATACTGTAGCTAGCATCAACGTGTATAGTGTTTTTCTCCAGTCCAGGCCAACCCAGGCCAGCAGTCTGAACCAGTCTTATGACAGTCTTATTATGACAATATTGCGTCCGACTGCATGTTAATAACAACCAAAGCTAGCTGAACGAAGCGGGACGTCACACACCCTCACTGCTACTTAACGTTAGCTTACTAGTGAGATGACGTGATGCTACTGCTAGCTAGCATGGTTATATCGTGAATGTTCGATGAATTTAATAAATATATAATCAACATTACGTACCTTTCTCTTTTGCACGTTTCTCCTGCTCTTCTTTTCTGCGCTTTTGAAAGTGCGCTCCGGATGGCTTTTACCGTTTAATTTTCCATGGACTGTAGCTGTAACCATAGTAACCCGTCGACACACAGCCGACCGACCGACTGCGTGTCAGTGTGCGTGCTAGCATGTTGTGACCGTGACGTGTAACAGTCACGTCAGAATTGTCATTTCTTTTACTTAAGTTTAATTATTTTTTTATGTCAAAGTATTGTTGTAGATAGAGGGATGGCAAAAACTGTTGAGAAAATAAATAGACATTATAATTCTAATTATAATTTTTTTCTCGCCGCATATTTGGGGCCCCTCACTAGGGGGCACCCTAGGCAAGTGCCTATGTCGCCTGTAGGAAGGGCCGCCACTGTTTCTAAAAGTTACCTGCTTCAGCTTTAATCACACATACTGACAAGACTGAAATAAGGTAGGTTGGAGAGTCACAATGTTGATTTTAGTAAATTTTCAATTCTGTGAATCATCATTCGTTCCTCTGAATTTCTACAAAAAGAATAGCATACTGTAGCTGAATAGATGTGATGATATGCAAAACAAGTTCAAGAGACCACATGCACACTAATACGATCAGACACTGTATGGATTAAGCCAAATTTAAACCCAAATTGGTTTCCCCCTGCATTTTAACTTGGTGTGGCTGCTTTTGTCTTGAATAAGACTGTATTGTCCGAATCTTCTCTGAAATATGCAAGTCAGTTTATTTCTTTTTTCTTCCTGCTTTCTGTTCACTGGAAAATTGTAGTGTTGCTTTTCTCTTTTTTTGTCAACATTTTCGAGGATGAAAACATCTTGTTAGAATGGACACATCACATTGGGTACCCTATGTTTACGTTCAGTGTGGGCACCCACATTGTGGCCGCTGGATGGATGTGTACAATGGGAGCATTGAAGCCATATGTTTTGGCTGTTTAGAAAGGGTCATTAAAACGTGCAATGAGAGTTAACACAAAGAACATGACATTGTCCGGTGCCTGCCCAGCCAATGCCAGTTAATGCAGGAACAATAGCTCTGCAAAAATACTTGGAACTGTATCTGTGGATCTAGGAAAGCAACGTATTTTGTGTCTGCACAACAAATGAGCTGACAGACCGATCCAAATTCCGAGAATGATAGTTGATTGTCGATTCTCATTCCCAAGTTGTCAAATACAAATGCTTTGAATCCCAAAGCTTCAAGCCACCAACCCAATGTCTCGATATTTGACATCCTGGGAGTGACCAGCTTTCTTTCTCACCTCTGATTGGTTGTTTTCATCCAGGCCGGTCGGATTCTTGCAAATGCAATTAGGAGCACTAAAATGAGCTGGAGGAACCAGTTTTTTTCACAGATCTGTCTCATGTACTGCTGTCAGGATAAAGTGAAAGTTTCAGCAAATAGGAAAAAAAGTATTTTTTTATAAAATTGACCTACTGCAGCTTTAAAAGAAATTGTTTCCTTTTGGTTTCACATGGGACACAGACACTGATCTCCTTGGTTAAAGTCCTTAGTTTAAGCGATGACGGTGACTTCTTTCAGTAACATCAATAAATTAAATAATTACAGACTACTGAATAATATTTGAAAAGCAAGTTCCTTAAATTTCCTAAAGTTCCCTCCCTCCAAAAAACAGAACTTTCAGGACATTTTTTCTAAAAATTCAACGGTGGGATAATAACATCCCACTGCTTTTGCTGTTTTTAGGAATTGTCTCTGGAGTCATTTTTTGGGCCTAAACCTATCCCAACTTTCACCAGAACTGTGGCAGATCAGAATACGCTGATTTGACTCATTTGTAACACTGATTTGTGTTGATTTTGGAAGACACTGACAAACAGTTGTTCAGCAGATGGAAAAAAGTCAAGTAATTTAGCATTGAGGACATGTTGCTAAATTCAAATGAGCTAGTGCAGTGTTCATGCGTGTAATAAAACAATTTCTTGCTAATTGGTGCAAAGAATGATGCAATACATGTACAAGTTACAATAAAATGTCATGTTCAGAGTCCATAGGTGTAAGTCAAATTACAGTTAAAATAAAAATCAGCAAAAAACTCATCATAAATAGTTTAAATACAGGCGTTATTTTGGCTTTAAGTGAATTTACTTTGTATACTTGGATTGAGTCTGCCACAAGCTGATTTGACAACATTTATTTCACTAGCTTAGTCTTATTTTCAGAACAGTTTTCATTCTAATTATAAGAAATTTCAAAATAAAATACAATTTATTTTATTTAATATAAGAATTACATTTTTTATTACATATATTTTTTAATTAAATAATTCAAATAAAGAAACTCTCAAATAAAACAATGATAACAGTGATGATGTTGCATCTTGTTTAGCGTAATCATACACAGTAAATATTGATCAGTTCTACAGTATATAGTTAATCTATAAAACTGCATCACATCCATCATATCAGAGTTAACTGGAGGAGATCTGATTTCAATAAAAAGACTGCACTGACTCTACATAAATATTGGTTTAAATTGCATGTGACCTGTTTGTGATTGCACTGTGCTGTGCAGTGTGTGTGTGTGTGTGTATGCTACATGTATGGGCCTGCACATGAGTGAGGCTGTGCTTACCTGTATATGGTGGGTGTGTCTGTGGTCCCTTGGCATGGGGTGCCCAGTAACGGGGCTAATTGGGTGTAAAGGGAGGGGTGTGGCGGTGGGGTTGGGTTAGTGTGTATGTGTGTGTGTGTGTGTTGAGACTCTACAGCATCAGCTGCACCTGATCCGGCTGCCTGATTAAGCTGTGTAATCTCCTGCATGAAACAACAGCTGACCAGCTCCCTGGGGTGGTGGCCACACACTAACACACTCACACACACACACACCTGTACTGGTGACCATGACAGCAGGCACCTTGCGTTCCCCGAGGAAGGTAGTCTCGATCAAACACCTGGTATCTACACCTCCCCTGTCTCAAAGGTGAAGTCTCACAACAGAAAAACATTTGAGTAAACCAGCAGTGTGTTTTTTTTTTCCTGTGAAGGTTTTGGAATCACAGCTGTGATTGTGGGAAAATGAAACCTGATCCTCAAATAGTTCTGTTTTGTATTTTTCCTTTCCTCCAGTCTGCTTGGAACAAAAACGGTAGAATTTCCACATTAAAATCCTTAGAAAGGAAAAGGAATCCTTAAAAAAAAAAGTGGGTGTTTGACTTAAGACATTGGCTATAGATAGCTTTAGTCATAGCCATATGTCCCAAAATCCTAATGGAAATGTCCTATACCTATGTCACTATCATATTTAAATGAAAAAAAATAATACATGAAATAGTGTGCTCTTTAAATTAATATCGCTCACTAAAGAGGTTTTTTGAAGATCCCCTCCAGACATGTATACAAAATATTCTGCTTGGAACAGTAATGTGTGTCTGATATGTTTTTTCCACCAATAAAAGTCTAATTTCCACATTAAAATCCTTAAAAAGCCATCCCCTCCTTCTACCTCATTATAACTTCCAGAATCTCTGAATATGCAAATGTTGTTCATTTCTAAAGTTTTCCTGCTGGACACAAGATGTCTCCTACTTCACTGTGAAGTCCATTCTCAGTGGATGTGCACTGGTGGCTTCAAGTTTCTACATCACACTGTACAAGTTGATACTGGACCAGGACTGACTTCCAAACTATTTGTGATGTCACAAATCATGCTGGTAGGCCCCGCCCCTTAAAATCAGAAACTTTCCACTTTCAGCAGGTGAATGTGAAAACATCCATCTAGTGTCAAACTCCGGACGGGTACTTGGAACCATGTTGGAGATTTTCACTTTAACATGACTTGCTACAACTTTTTGTGCACAATAGGAATTGTATGTTGCTATTATTATTATTTGACAGTTGTTTACTATTTGCCAGCTTGCTATTTGGCACCTTTGTGAGCAGCTGTAGATTTAGTGACTTTTCAGATCCCGTCTTAATTTGGCTTTTTCCCACTGACTAAAAACAGCTTGACTATGGAGTAAAAATGCAAGTTTATTGACTCCCAAACCCTTGGGGACCCTCATTTGCAGATGCATATGATATACTTCACATTACTTGCTTCTGCTTACAATATTTTGCCTACACACCGTAGCAGCCACAAAGAATCTCAAGCAAATTGAGTGTATGTTCGATTTAATTTTTGTACTAGTTTATGTCCTGAAAATAGCAACACTACTCGCCTTAATGTGAAGAATTAAGTAAAATTATAATGTATTTGAAGTCAAATTATAAAGTGATTACAGGGAATTTATAAGCCTGTTGTGGAAAAAGCTCTGCTGTACTTAATGTATAATGACTGGAGTTTTCCATTTTTCAAAATAAAAGCAAGCAAAATCTTTAGAAATGCATATTTTAACACAGCCCCACAGTTTTGGGCTGATTTTTTTTGCAGATTACTGCACGTACAGCCCCACTGGAGGTATCTGATGCAGGCACACACACCCCCACATACACACGACTCCAATAACTTCCATCCCCCGGCAGCGTGCTGTGGGAGCTGGTCAGCGGCGTCAGTCAATTGATTGAGCGTGGAGGAGGAGGAGGAGAAGGAGGAAGGAGCCGCAGGCCATGAGCAGCAGAGGAGGTGAAGACCTATTGGAAATCAGTGCACCATGAGCATTTCTGCCCCATATGGGCAAAACACGCGCCTAGACAGCTGCCACAGCCCGCGTAGAGAGAGAATGTTAACAGTGCAGTGTCCGTGCTGTCAGGAGTCTAATTCTGTTCACTTCTCATTGATTTCATAAGTTAGGCTCCTTGCAATGGAGGTCTATTCTTTGACAGAAATGGAGAAAACATATTTATAAATGTGACACAAGAAAGACACTGTGATTAGGATTCTAATGTTTTGTATGATTTAACAAACTGTATGTGCTTACATTACTGCAGATCATATCATAGTAGGCTTTTAGATATTTGAATACTTTCCTCATTTTTGAGCCACCCATTGGATGACTTCCTATTTTATATTCTTTGGAAATCAACGTGCATGCAACTTCCCTCCAGTAGACCATCACATCAGGTCTGTTATTGCAATGCAGACTTCTCAAATCGATCCACACTTTCAGCTGCATTTTCACAGAACAATAGTTTGACATCAGTGAAAATA